AGTTCAAATTTGAGTTTTGAGTTTTCACCAAGTGGGTAAAAATAATGCAGAATAAGAAAATCTTAATTTGGAATAAATTAAACTCATTCTGCATTACCTCGTCCATCATAATCTTGTCTTCCTTTCTTTTATGATCCTCAAGACCCGAGTTAAACTCGAAAAAAAAGCCAAAGTCTCACTATCATCAGTTTTAACATATTCTTAATAAGGTGAGATGAGGATAGAATGGCCTCTTAAGTCAAATATCACCTAAAATTGGTAAAACTATCCAGTTTCAGCATGTTCAAAGTCGCCATATTCAGAAAATAAATCCTATTGTCAAACTCAAATGGGTAAATTAAGGTCAGGATCATCAGCAAAGTGAAATATCAGTATAAACACTAGGGAAAGAGCAAAGCTAGGTGGTAGCATGCTTTATTACATGATCTAGAGTTCTGCAAGAAAATAATAAAGTGAAGACTTCAGTCAAAACTACAATTCTCTCTTGAAGGAATGTCAATAAATATTGATCGCATAAAATTAAAAAATTTTAGAATGAAATGTTGCACACAGAAATATGAATCTAATCCACCACAGTATGCAAACAACTTAGAGAGAAAAAATGAAGCCAACAAGAAAAAGAAAAGAAGAAGAAAGTTATTTACGCATTGAAATCACGTTGGATTTGGAGAAAGTGACTGGTCATGCTCAAAGGATCACCAAGGTCCTCAAGTGCAGCCTCCATTTCCTCCAATATATCAAGTCTCTGAAAGACAGAGATCAATGTCAGTCACAACATCCAACTTTAAAAAACGGGAAAAAAAACAATAATTTGAACTGCCGAGTGTCCTCAATTGTACTCATTACATATAAAGCTCGCATAAGGAGGCTTCAGGAGTTACCATCTCTAAATTCATATGTGCAGGGAACCTGAAGTTCCTTGGTCTAGATGATGCTGCAGGCGCCCGGCCAGAAAAGCGACTCCTAAATTGCCTCATTCTAACAGGAGTGGAAGCTTGAGCCTGGGATACTCTCCGATTTGAAGAACCCGGCAAAGACTGTGTCTGGAGTTGTCTGCGCAAACGAGGTATTGAAGAGCTTCTCTGCTTAGAAAACACAAGTTATCACTACAAGGAACAGCTTCCTACAATAAGAAGAAAGTTTATGGAACTTTCTACAATAGATGTAGAATGCATATCTAAAAGCATTGAAATAAACACCAAGAAGATAGTGTGATAAATTTCTTTGCAAGAGAAGCACTCCAAAAAAAAGCAGAGCTTGCATAAATCATCCCGAGTATATATGCTTAAGAAAGGAAATGTTCATTCTAGTATGCACAGATAAAATTTAGAACATGCTCCTTAAATAAGCAAAAGGTCCCAAATGGTACTCATTAGTTTTATCAGTTTCCTTCCTATTAGACACTTTTACATAGTGAAATATTGACTGATTTTAACAAAAGTTAACTTCTAAACTTCACTTGTTAATTGCTCGACACTGTTACAGATGAACAAATGGTACGCTTGCTAATATGTATTCTATACTGCATTTCATGATAGTGATAATGACCACTTTACAGACTGTGCTGTATGGTGATTATGACTAGAGGCTAAAAGTTTTAAAAGCCAGTTTATGAATGATCCCAAACTATTATATATATATATATATATATATGTATGTATATTAGTCTATATACTTGAGAAAGAAAAACACATTCCATACACAGAAAAATTTAGAACATACTCCTCAGAAGTATGTTCCGATGACTATGCAAAAGTTCTCAAATAGTTTCCCATTAGTCTTACTAATCTTGCTCTCTAAGCGGATAGCTTTTAACAAAAACTAACTTCTAGCTTCAATTGCCATGGCTATGACTTATTGATGCTATTACAGGTAATAAATGGTACACCAGCTAAATATAGTTACTGCTGGTATCATGGTAGCTATGAATGTAAGAAAAATGATAAGGATCAAGTACATGCTCTCTTCTATGGCGATTATGACTAGAACCAGGAACAACTAGATTCTCCTCCTGCTGCAGTGCCCACGCAACACTTTCATCAACCTGTTTAAAAGCCAATAAACATACAAAACTTGACATTTATCTGAGGAATTAAAAAAGAAAATTTTCCATTTATGACAAAAGCAACCTCGTTGTCTCCACCAGATATTGTTGCTTCTTGATATAACTGTTCTTGGAGTGCACGTGCCAATATCTCATCTGCTTCGACTTGTCTTGCCCTTGCATCAGATTCATCACTGTTACTGCATATAGTACCTCGAGAACGATTGCATACCACATCAGGTGATGAATCATCAACTTCAAAAACTAAACCAGGCATAATTTGATGATGATGATTCCAGATTTTGGATGATCTTGAATTAGAAGATTCCCCAGAAGAACCAAGAAAAACAACTTCTTGTTCACCAGAAACATTTCCAGCGCATGCACCATGATTCTCTGAGTTCAATCCATTCCTCTGCTGCCTTTTGGTGACTATGTTAGCTACACAAAAAGGCTCACCTGTTTGATCAGGTTCAGGCACAACCTTAAAACTTGTTTGAGTTGCATCTTGATCAATAGAATAATTGTATGTACCTGTATTTCTTTTATCCCTCGCATTCTCTCTGATTATCTGTGGGTCACCAATGCGCTCAACATTGTTTATTCCAGAAGGATGCTGAGATGTGCTATATAGTGATTGATCTGTTTTCTTTGTACGATAGCGAGTGCTTCTCCATCCACCTAATCCTTCAAAGCATCCAAGTATATCTCCACTTGCATCACTGGTTCCATTAGCTTCCTCTTTATTAAGATTTGGACTGAAGAAATTATCTTACCAATAATTAGAGGCAACACACAATAAACAGATCCTCCAAGATTTTACCATGTCAAAAGTTTAAATCTATAACAGATGTCACAACAAGATTCCTATCTCATACAAGAACTAGAAGAATGATATGTTTCCTTGTAGGGTACATATTGGATAAATCTTTACAATACAAAATCATAAATCTAATTCCCAAGGAACAACATAATAATCAGTGGAAAAGCACAAATAATAGACACCCAAACGCAATGAAGACCTAAGAGGCCAAGTCTCAACAAATCCTAACTTCTTCAGCATCAATTTTAATAAAAATAAAAAGACAAACTTATATCACATGATTTATAGGATAAGTAATCAGTGTTATCAAGTTAAGCAACATA